AAATTCTGTTTTTAATTTTAATTTATAATCTTTAATTTATTTCAAAAAGTTGTGGGGAAAGAATAGATCTCTTTAAAATTTTAACATTTTCATAATAAATTTTATTTATTTTGAATTCCATGACTTTCACTTATCAAAAATAATTCAAAATAAAACATAAAATGTAGCACATAAAAGACACATTAAGATATGTGTATTTTGATATAAAATACAATGTTGAATATTTAATCTTCTAAAAATTATTATTTTGACAAATACATAAATAATATATATGTATATATCTGCTAACTTTTTTGTTTAATAATAAAATATAATATTTTGTCTTTTTACTTTTTAGATATTGAGAAACCCACCTTGGACTGTGGCCAATTCATAATTCTCGATGATGGGAAATATCATCAACCAACACCCTCAACATAAAACAACAACATACAACAACAAACATTAACGAATAGTAATGTGTATATATGCATAAAACAACAAGAACAACAACAACAACACCAATAAGCACAATAAAAGCAACAGCGCTACTCGCAAGAATAATAGAAAGAAGAGCAACAACAACAAATTCAAAGCCCGTGCGTGAATTTAGCATTGCCGTTGGTAGTGTTGCCAGCTTGGCCGCTGCCAACGACATTTGCCTTTGAAAATCTTTCATGGTGACAGAAAATTTTAATTACCAATTTATGTGAAATGACAAAAATAAATAGAAAAGAAATATATAACAAAAACAATAAAACAAGAACAACAATTGAAATGAACTCAAAACCACAAACTAAAAGTTGCTTATATTATTTGTATATATAAATTTCAAAATATTTTATAAAAAAAAAATATATATATGTAGATAAATATATTTATATATGTATATATGTAAAAAGGTTATAATTAGGACGCCGGTGGGCAGCAAGCGATGCGACGATTAGCCAAGTTGTTGTACAACATCGAAAATCGGAAGGCGCACAATAAAAATATTTTAATATTTCTTCACTGAAGAACATGTGGAAAGATAAAAAATATCAAAAAAAAAAAATAAATAAATAAATAAAAAATTCAAAATTGAAATAAAATTAAAATCAACTCAAAACATTTTAAAAAGCAGCTTTGCATAGACTAAGAAAACTAAAAATAAAAAAAATGTATAAATTTAAAACAACTTAATGCGTCACTCAAACAGACAAATATATATATCTTTAGGTCCGCTACAGTTGCCGCATCTGCTCTAAATAAATCAATTATTAGAGGGTGTTTTTGTTAGACGATAACTATTCAAAGATAGCATTCAAATTTTTAAACTCCAATTTGTGTCGAATATAAAATAAAAAATTATTTTAAGTATCGAAGAGAAATACCACTGTACATATTAATAAGAATTATGAGTAATATCTTCCATGTTATATGGTAACAATATGTTTAGACTACCACACTCTTTTGCACGCAGCAACTTTTCTTATACAAAACCTATTCAAAGACTATTCAAAAATCCACTCAAAAGCTATTCAAAAATGCATTCAAAATCTATTTAAAATCCAATCAAAATCTATTCAAAATCCACACAAAAATGATATGAAGATTGTTAAACTTGTTAAAATGCATTTATTTACCAAATAAGTTTCTATAGACATTAACGGACCTATTCTGTGCACTTTATAAACTTGTCAAACATTGACACTTGTCAAAATTGACTGCTGTGAAGGTTTTGGTATTCTGTGACATAAATAAAAAGCTCTTTTCCTTGTTAGTTGTCAATACTACAAATGCTGTTGACAACTTTAAAAATATGCTCTTTTTAAGCATTTTTTATTTTTTGCATGCATGACAAATATTCTTAACTAAAATATACGCTCTTTACAAGCATATATTTTATTGTTATTTGAATGCAAGAAAAATGCTTTTGGCAACTTAAAATATGTGCTCTTTACAAGCATTTTTTAAAAACAGTTATGAACAATTACGAACAGTTTTCTATACAAAACACTTTACACCATAGTGTGGTGAGAAGCATTAGGTACTTGAGCTTTAAAATTTGTCAAGATCTGTCCAGAATACCAAAAAGCTTTCTGCTATATAAAAATTAAAAATTTTATTAAAGAATTTGACAAATCTGTCAAGTGCACAGAATAGGTCCGTAAAAATGCCACTTTACATTTTAATATATCTAAGAACTTAAACTTATATCAATTTTGAAGTAAAAACCTACACTGCTCAGATAAATACATTGGAAGAAGCAAAGTATCTGTTAGACGTACCAAGGAACAAGGAGTTAAAATGACATATATTTTAATAATTTCTACTAAAATAAAAACAGCACTTCTATTTCTTCTAGCACTTCTATAAGTACTTGTAAACAGTACTAAAAAATGAATTTAAAAAAAAACTGCCCGTAAGATGTGTGTCTGAACAATTTTTCATGTTGATGACTCCTAAGGAGAGTCGAAATATAGAATATATTAAAAAATATTGAACAAACGTTAAATTTAATTTTAACAAAAAGTGGTACAGCACTGGGAGAATAATATAATTGTTTTAAAAGTAATTGACCTCATTTGACTCCTTTTTTATATTTTTTAAATTAAAATTATATTATTTTTCCGATATATAAACTGAGCAGTAGTTCCACATTATTAGAGGCTCACTATATCTATAATATGAGTTTTAAGAAAATATATCTTTTAAGTCGAGGGTGTATTATTAGGATACACCCTACTGGGTACTAGGATAGTTATACTGGGTAACTAATTCGAACTTCACAAGAAAATTTTAAATTGAAATCAAATCATTATATCCAGATTATAGTGATTCAAATATATACTATTTATTACCATTCTTCATATTCTATTAATAAGAAAACTTATATAGAGGTACTAAAAACCAGAAATGGTATCATTTTACCAATGAGCATTTTAGATGCTCTGAAAATCGACCCACGACACGTACGACTGTAAAACTTAACACTTTGCCATTTAAGGCTCCAAACATACTATACGATAGTGATCCATGCCTAGTACAGCTACAAATCTAGTTTTGCAATAAAAGCTCAATCATCTGAATGTTTGCAGCTGCGTTCTTTAGTAGCATTTCACACGTTTTTACGCAATAATCGTAAAGTGTAGGATTTCACAGCTGTGTTTTGCAGGTGGCATCATTGAATTTCTTTAAAGCAAACGTTAATCAAACGTTAAGTTGCGAAAATCAAATCTTCATATTCTCACTTACGCTTCTAGTTGAGATACGTGAGAGAAAGCTCTTTTATGCTTGAAAAACGCTTCTAGTTGCGATACGTGAGAGAAAGCTCTTATATGCTTGATAAACATTTCTAGTTGAAATATATGAGAGAAAGCTCTTTTATGCCCGAAAAACGCTTCTAGTTGAGATACTTGAGAGAAAGCTCTTTTAATCTTGAAAAAGCTTTTTAAAGGTTGTAAATAAATAAGCCAAACTATGCTTTTGGATATCCGTTAACTCCAAGGGAATATTGTAACATTAATATATATTTTATACTTCAAATAAATTATAATTCCACAAAAAAGCATGCCGAGGATCTATCCCATACCCGATTATCTTCTGCTAAGAATTGTGCAATTATTGAATTAAGAAAGAAGTTTCCTACAAGTTGTAGTTTAAAAATATTCATTACCCTGTAATTTGTAAAAATGATATAAACAACATTTCAGTACACAAAAACCAAAATTAAAAAATTAGTTCCTTAGCTAGCAAAATCACAAACTCATAAAATGTTAAATTTTATAAATGTTTTGAGCATTAATTTTAATAAAAATTTTCATAGTGAATTTTTATTTGTTTTCAATTATTAAAACAATCAGTATGGTTTTATAATTAAGAACTGAAAGAAATAATGTGAAAATCAGTTAATAAACTAAAAAACAATTTTTTTTTTATTAAGAAATTAGAATAAAAAATATTTTTTTTTAATAATCAAAATCTTCTCCATGCAGAACGCAAGTCTTCAATAGCAAAGCAATCAAACCCAAACGGCAAGAAGAGCGGAACAGATATTTTAATAACCAAAGAAATAAAATAAAGTGATTTTTTTCCATTATCACGGCCGATCAACGGAAATCATCGGTCGGCGATCAAGCAGAAGTGTCGACGATACAAGAAATACGACGACAACGTCCAGCGGCATTTTTCCAAATGAATTTCCGTGGCTGCGGCAGTTTGTTTCGGTGTTGGACACGAGACGCGCGCGAACCCATTTGAATGGCGGTGAAGCATACGCCGATACGCCGTGTGTTCTATGAAATTAAATTACATATACAAAATTTAAAAAATATATATTAAAACAAAAATTAAATTTAGAATAAATTTAAAATTTAATTTAAAATAAATTTAAAATTTAATTTAAAATAAATTAGAAATTACATTAAAATTAAAATAAGAATTAAATTAAAATTTGAAACAAAATTCAAATAAAAATTAAATTAAAAATTAAAACAAAATTAAAATAAAAGTGATGCAAATTAAATATTAAAAAAAAATAAATCAAATAATTAAAAATATGTGTTTAAGTATAAAAGTAAATAACTTGTATTAAAAGCGTGAAAGTGTAGTGTGAATAGTGCATATAGTATTTGCTAAGAATAAAAGTTTTTTGTAATGTCAACTACAACAACAAATACACTTGTACCAAAAACAACAACATCCTTAAGACGAAAAATAAAATTAACTAAACTTACAGATAAAATTAAAACAAAACGCAGAAAAAGAATTAAAATAGCAAACAATGCAACTACAATTGGCACATATTCTGATGCCGGCACAACTGAGTGCAGTGCAGCAACAAGAAATTCAACATTTTCCTTACCAACAACCACCTCATCGTATCTATCTGAACCAACGACAGTGTCAACAGCAACAGCAGCAACAACTGTATCAACACTATCACCGTCATCAACATCATCAACACCATCAACATCGTCAATACCGCCAAGAACATCAACATTGTGTAGATTAACAGCACGCACTCTCACAACCACTGCGGTAGCCTTAACAGCAGCTGCTATGTTGCATACAACAAATGCTTCCATACTGTCTACAAGCAACACGGCACAGCAGACTATACCAACAATCGCAGCAACTATAGCATCTGCCAATGCAACAGCAATTCCACAATCATTTGACACATTAACAGCAACAACAGCAGCTGCACTCTCTGCATATCCTTTGACTGTGCTGGATGCGAGTGTTGCACAAACTGACTGGAATCTTACAGTGTTGGGTGCAGCCGCATCTACCATCAATGACACCTACGATAATGCACACATCAATGGTGAGAACAGCGATTGGTTGGATACGTTGATACTATCCTTTAAAGCGGCGATTATGCTGTTCATTATAATTGCCGCCATTTTTGGAAATATGCTTGTAATTATTTCTGTGATGCGAGTTAGAAAACTAAGGTAAGCTTTCATCTATCACTTTTATATCACATAAAAGTAATTAAGTGTTTGCAAGATACCTTAACTTTACTACAAACTTATGAGCCACCGGTTCAAAACAAGCAATGAACCGGTTATCGGTTACTTTTCTTGTAGCTGCATAAATGAGTAGCAAATTAGGAGCATAAAAGCTTCTAAAGTATCTTTAACTCTTACAACTTTATTTACATTTTTTTTTGTTTGTCTGTCTTCCTCATCTAATAGGGCTTTTTCCGTAATCGCTTTTTCTTGGCTAATTAATATTACTTGCTGTACTTCACTTGCATACGGATTTCTTTTTTAACGAGTGTTTCTTTGACTTATTTTAACCACTTTGTCTTACTGTGGAAAAACTCTCGGTTTTTTGCAGATTTTCTTTTGATTTTGTATTTGTAATTTAAACTGTTTGTAAACTTTTTCAAGCAGTTTAAGAAAATCTCTTTTTAGAAAAAAAAAAAAACTTGTGACAACTTTTTGCTTTACTTATCCACGCTGAGTTTCAAATGCGCGCCATTATTTTAATTACAAATTAACCTAATGAGATTTTTTCTCAAAGCAAATTTAATTCTTCAACTGTCGGCAGCTTTTTTACATATTTCGATTATTGGTGAATTCTTCTTAAGTTGGTTTTTTAATCTCTTTATGCAACACATACTCGTAATACATAAAAAGATATCATACCTATAGAGATAACTATATTATCAAGATAATTTCTATGTTTTAACTTAAAGCAAAACTAAAACAAAAATGCTTTGAATATCAGACTTTCTAATTTATTGAAATCTGTTTATAGCATTAAGCTAGATTAGGGTAGGTTGAAGTAATAACCTTAAGCTCCAAGCTCACTTGAACTCAAATAATGACCAGTTCTGATAAACATTAAGCAAACACAAAACAAAAAACAAGATTCCATAAGTAGAGATGTCTCTGCTCATTAAGATTAAGGGTTTGCTAGTAGATAACCTGCTTGATCTTATCTTATCTTATATATCTGGAGAGATGAATTGTCGTCTTCGCCTGAAAGCGAATGACGCTTTTAGTCATATGCTCTGTGATTGTTTGCCAAAATTAGAATATTTAACTGGGAACTTCTGTCACTGACTGAGGCAAATTCCATTTCCCATGTTATCATAATTCGATAATAGATTTTTGTGGACCAAGAACATCAGTCATCGACTGAAAAAACATTCCATTTTTCATGTTATCACAAATAGACAACCGATTTTTGTGGACCGGGAACGTTTGTCATCGACTGGGAAGCATTCCATTTTTCATGTTATCACAAATAGACAACAGATTTTTGCAGACCAGCAACAACTGTCATCGAATATATAACATATAATTTTTTCTGTTCACATTTTGACAACAGATTATTGTGAATTTCAGTTCAGAGTACTGGACCATGATTCCATGTCATAGACAACACCTGAAATCGCCAATCAGACTATTTGTCCTAAAGAAATAAAATATGAATATTCGAAATAAAATTAATTAATATGAAGACTATAACTAATTATAATAATTCCCAAATCCTGAATGCTATTAAGATTTATCACCAAAGTTTCAACATATACACTGTTTTATTTTTTTTTTTTTTTTGTATTTCTACTCATAACCAAATAAAGATTTCTTCCTCATTTAGATCAAAGATAATATTACTCTATTGAAGTTCTGTAGTTTATATAGCTTTATCGGATTTCTGTGGTTATATACACTTAAATAATAGAATTGTAATAGCATTGTATGCTATATATGAAATATTATATAGCATTGTAAAATAACAACAACATATATTTAATTTAGATTCAGTTATGTGCACTGATTGAGGAACAAAGCAGTAAAAGAAACACCGAAGATCATGCAAATGAATTATTTCTCAATTATCACATAATTTAATTTAGTTAATAAATCGGTAATTCATATACTTTCTAACGAAGCTCAGAGCTAATCGAAACATATGGAAATGATCTGAATTGGTGATTTTAGTGCACTGACGCAGATTAATTTGTAAATAATTCTAATTGGCACTATGACTACAATGAGTTTAAATTTACTAGTTTATTTACAATACACAACATCAAAAAAGTGGTATATAATACATATTGATAAAGAGTATATTGGTAAAGAGTAGTATATAATATCAATTTAAAAAAATGAGTGAATGAAAAATGAATAAATGAAAGTGAAATAGAGTTCATTGTCTTAATTGATAAAACCACTTTATTTCCTATCATAAAAATACTGAAATGCTATATATTAAAATTTTAAAATTTAGTATGTCGAATTTTTCCCTTTATTTTCCCTTTATTCCCTTTATTTTGCAAATCACATTATTTTTAAATTGGCAATATTTATTTTTATATATATTTATGTTTTCAACATACGTACTCAACCTTTTATTTTAATTGAGCTATTTTGTACATTGTACGAAATATGAAATCTACAACAGCTTATATTGGGCAACTTTACAATTTAATTGAATAAATTAATATGAAATTACATATATTTTTCACAAAAAAAAAAAATTCTTGACTAAAATCTTAATATAATTCAGCATATATTCATATAGAATAATTAAATGTTACTCATACGCACCGGTGACCAAATATTCTGTACTGAGTAGCGATTGAAAAAATTAGTTTACCTATTAATGTTTTTTTTAAGCCTATATTTATTTTATTTTAAATTTAAATGTAAATATTAGAAGTATCCCCTTTTTATGCCATTTAAAATTACAATCCTTGACAGTCGTTACATAATCCTTGAAGTATCGGAGTCAGTTGAGGTAATTTCTTTTATTAACATATGGCAATATTTTTGTTGCTGAGATGTTGGCTTATTTAAAACATGATATTAATAATAATTGTTTTAAAAAGTAACAGAAAAGACACAATATTCTCACCTTTTTGACGAAAGACGCTATACCGTTTCATGTGCTATACTAATAAGGAATACGCGGATGCTAGAGAAATTTTTATACATGTGACATACAAAAACTTATGACATGCAAATTTGCAATCCCTGCTTTAAACATGTTAAATATGTTATAAAATATTTAATGACTGAACCTTAAGGATCTTTTTTGATATATATTTATATATTAATATGTTATTTCATCCCAAAGCAAGCGATGTTTATATTAAGTCGGTGGCTTAAGAGTCCTTAGCTAAGCACAGTATTGGTAGTGGGGGAGTAATATAAAAAATTTTATGTGAATTTTAAACGAAGCGATCTTAAAAATCTTGTTCGGAGATATTATTAAACCCGGTAATAATAGGAGTCGAATGGTAAGTCCGTGGATTAACAGACGGAACACGGTATTGGAGACGGTAGAGTGATGTAAAAAACATGCAATATAGTTAAAAGACTTATAGTCTTAACATATCTTACAGATATTGTTTGGATATATTATTAAAGCCAGTAGTGAGAAAAGTCAAATGTTAATGAAACTTTGCTATTCGTTTTTTGACATTGTTTTTCGCATCACTTATCATCGAGAGTTAGTGTGATGTATATATATCAGCAAATAGCTTATAATTTATATAGATTTGTTAGAATACATTATTGTGATTAAGATTGAAGTAAAAAATTAAAACAAATTTTCTCGATTTATATAAGACAAGCATAAAAATAAGCTAAAGTCTTATAATTTTAAAATAACACAAACAAGGATCTGCAAAATCTATATAATATGCGTAAAACATTGTCCTATTGCACAAGAATACCTGTAAGCACAAAAACCTAACATATAAATTAAATTTTTACAAATTTCTATACATAACATTAAAATTGGTGCGTTTTCGAACCATTGCCAGGTAATGGTTTAAAAGATCCTAATCAGAGTACACTAAATATGTTTAATTAATATTTGAAACTATGTAAAAATTAATAGTTCGAGGGTATGTCTAGATTTCTATATAAGGTTAGAATATATTATAAGTCAAGCCATAAGGTTTTAAATAAATAACTTACGATTTTATTGTAACTAAAATATCTTGTAAATCATGAACGAAACCAGTTATAGACCAACTAAGTCAGCAAATGATTTTTATAGCAGTTTAATTTTTTTTAATTATTAATTACAAAATTTTTTTCATAATGAAAAAAATAGTTTATTACTCTTTCTAGTTTCTTTTTAGTTGATTGTTCAGATAATTATATTTATTTATGTTACAATCCATACTTATTATAAAGTTAGAACTTACTGTGTTGCCTAGTATAATCGTCTGCCTTAACTATTTTATTTAATAAAAGGCAATTTTCTTTGATAAATAATTTTTTCTTTAATAATAAGCAATATTTTTTGCAATTTTTAACAAATCTGTTAACAAAAACGGACAAGAATTTTTTATCTCTAAAACAAAAATGTAAATATTACGACTTAAATGAAACGCACACCGCCTACCGTAAAACATTAAGGAGTGAAAAATGATAGGCAGGAACCGTTTATGCGTCCGACAGACTACAAGGAAAGAAGCAAAATGGATAATTAATGTCTTACGCCGTTTAAACTAGCGTGATGCGACAATCAGTCGCTCTTCCCTTACTCTCCTGCAACACACATTGTAGCATTGTAGAGTTCTTAAAAGAAATGTAAATAATCAAGGATATAAAAGAAGATAAAAAATTTTTTTTAAAATGCGTACAGCAAGGATACGCAAGGTCATGACATGAACTGTTGGAATATTAATAACAGTAGCCTGTGAACAATAATTGCAGTTCATTATGAATATGAAATGTGAAAAAATATAAAAATGGCTAAAATATATATTAACAATAAAAGCCAAATAAATCACAGATACTAACAGATAAATTATTGTAATTAAGTGAATTGTGTAAATTATTACAACTTCATTTAAAAATTTTGTATTTAATTTCACTTTAACACGCCAATAATAAAAGTTGTTTAATTAACATAATAACTCATTTCACACACAAAATATTTAAAATGAAATTAAAATTAAGTATCCTTGAGGGATTGA